TTAAATTAAACTATTGTTTCTCACATGGACAAGTTATTTATAACTCTAACATGCTACATATGTGTGTGCGTTCTGGTTTGTATGTTTTCTCCCCCTTCAAATTACAATCCAATAGCCTATCATCATACTTAACGATGTAAAGTTGACACTGTCAGGTCCATTCTCCATCCATTGTGTGCGGTCCCTTTAAGAATTACGATTTGGGAGTGACGCGGATATGAAAGCTAGTTTATCCGTCTTTCCTTTACAAGTAGGACAATTATTTCTCTCTCTTTATTTGAGAAAAGTTCATATTTGTGTTGTCAAATTTCACTATGACCCTGAAATTCTGTCACTTTCTGATTGAACCAATCTATGAACTGTCTGAAACAATGGATATCCGCGGCCCCAAATGGGCCCCAAAAAAAATTGCCACGCGCTACGCGCGCAAACATGCCGCTTCCCTTGGGGCTAAGCCCCCCCTTTCTTTGTATCCTAGAAACACCCCTGCTCTGCTTTATGGTCTATTTGACTCTAAATGGGACCATCATTTACTAAATGAACATCATGCTGTATTGAAGAATACTTGAAACTAGAGATTGAGACCATAAACTCATGTTTACAATGTTTACTGAGGGAATAAATGAGGTGAGAAGTAGGGTCATTTCCTCATAGACTTCTATACAATCTGACTTCTTTTTGCAACCATAGGAGTCGCCCCCTCCTGGTGAGTAGAGAGAATGCAAGTTTAAGACACTTCCACATTGGCTTCACTCGGCAGAACCGGCGGTTGCCGCCTGGTGGAAATGTTACACACGGCCCTTTAAGTATGTGCCGCCTAGAGGAACTTGTATACAAAAATGTGCATGGAAATTCTGACACTAGCTAAGTCATACCTGGTTATATACCTAACAAAAGCACAAATGGCCCAATATATAATATTTGTATGATGGAAATATATACTTTATATTGATATTAAAAAGTCTGGAGGATGCATTTAAACTACTTTTTATAGTCCGAAAGAAGTTAACACTGGGCTTCACCTGCCACTACCTGCTTATGTCTGTTTGCATATACAAAAAGGTTGATATTAGTGCGTGCACACATGTGAAGCTTTCTGCTTGCATCAACACATTCGTATAATTCTTCTAACCGTGTTAACATGTTTTTACTTCCTCACATTCAGTTCCATTCATCAATACACTTGGATTTACACAGGTGACCCACGCGAGCCCGTACTGTACATATACAGAGGCCTTATCCCCCACCCACACACACACACACACTCTGTAAATCCCAGGCAGCTCTGACAGGCCACATTAAGATAAGCCTGCTCAGCATGAACACATCATAAAAGTGGACATGCAATTTCTGTTTTCACCAAATAGCCAGCCGAGCTCGTTCTGCATCCCTGACTTTAATACACTCGACAAGCAGCTTAGCAACCGAGGAGAGGGAGAGAGCTCAGGCCCTTAGGGAGGGAGGGCGAGAGGCTGAGTGTGTGTGAATGGAGAGAGAGAGAGACAGAAAGAGAGAGAGAGAGAAAAAGAGAGAGGGAGAGAGAGTGTTATGCCTTGGAGCGCTGCTAAATCCATTTCTCCATCTGAATTATCAACTAGAATTTGATTAATATGCAAATTCGGAGGGGGGAGGGAGAACTTCTGGGATGATTCTCTTTGTGGATAGTAATTAATCACCGGTTAAAGTAAATTAATACATATATCAATTTTGTCAGGGACACGCTTAGTTCAATAGCCCGTAAAATTGAAGTTTGAAGTGTTAAGGGGCTCTACAGGAACGTTATAACTAAAACTTTCAAATCTGCCCTATTTAGTGATCAATCAAGCTGTGCCCTGCGGCAGAGGCAGCTCATTTCTTCAGCACCGTCCGGACACTCAAACACAGAGCTCAGGAGCTTGCTCAGCACACACACACTGCTGCTCAGTTAGAGCTGCAGCAGACTCACTCTCACACTGCAGCGCAGCACAGGACAGCATAGGACAGAACAGCAAAACACAGCACAGCATAAGATAGGACAGCACAGAAGCATAACACAGAAGAGGATAGCACAGCATAGAATTGGACAGCACAGCACAACATACAATAGAGTAGGACAGAACAGCATAGAATAGAACAGCACATTATATAATAGAGTAGGACAAGACAGAATATAATAGAAGAGGACATAACAGCAATAGAACAGCATAGAATAGAATTGGACAGGACAGCATAGAATAGAACAGCACAGCATATAATATAATCGAATAGAATATGACAGGAAAGGAATATGACAGGAAAGGAATATGACAGGAAAGGACAGCATAGGACAGGACAGCACAGCCCAGGACAGCACAGGACAGGACAGCACAGGACAGCACACAGGACAGCACAGGACAGGACAGGACAGCACAGGACAGCACACAGGTCAGGAAACCGCTGCACTGGAAACCATTGCACTCACTGGATATAGCCAATGCTAAAAGGGCTAACTATAACCATATAATAATGACTGCATGTTATTATTATAATTATAACAATAGTAATCAATATGGTGTTAATAATACCAGCGATAATAATAATAATAATAGCAGTAGTATACAATATTCAATTGCAATGGAGATCTACATGATATATGTATTATTCATAATATATATA